GGAAAGTGTGAATAGTGTTCTGAGAATAAACACAGTGGGTAGCACCGATTTGGTTTTCAGTTAATTCATGTTTGGATTAATGTTTGCAGTAATGGATGCAGTATTGATATTTATATCCAGCATTGCATTATACATTGCAGTATTTTTCCTCTAAAATTTGGCTTTATTGTGTAGCAGAGTTTTGACTGGTACCTGTGAGCTACCCTCTTAGAGTTGAGGAGCAGGTTTATAACTCAAAGGCTAAGAGGAAAAATGATCTTCTGAATAGGTAGGGGAAAAATGTTTTGTAATTAGACCTGTAAAAATTAAAATCTCTTGAAAGCCATTTTTTTTTTCTAAAAGGAGCTTTTGTCTTACACAGTGAGTTATTTTCGAAGCAATAATGCTTTTTTTTTTCCTCCCACATAGTACTTCAAAGCATTTACAAAGCAGTTTACTACTGGAGAAAATTACAAAGGTAAGAATATTGTACTGTAAGAAATCCTGAAGCAGTTACTCTGACAGCCAGGAATTTGTCACACAATGAGCAGAATCCCTTTGCCTGTCACTTAGTTTAGACAGCTGGAGCTGGAATGGACACTAAATAGCTCTTTAAGATATGATATTACAAGAGCCATAGGAAAATGGAATATTGGGTAGAGTTTTAGAGAGGCAAAACAGTTGTTAGGCTCACATTCCTCCTTTTTTTGAAAGGCAGTTCTTAATTTTCACAAATGGCTAGATAATTTGAAATTCCTTTTTTTCCACCACACGCCTCATCAGCTGGAGATGCAATTTGCTCAGTCCTGAGGAGTATTTTGATCTGTCAGCCGCTTGCCAGGCATCCTGAATCTCATTGGGAGAACCCCTATTCAGCTGTTGACTAACTGAAAACAGGCTTATCCCGTGTGTCTGACAGGATCACAGCTTGAGGTGGTTTGTCTGGGGACAAAAGTAATGTTGTCTTTTTCAATGGATTAACATTTAAAAGGCCAGAGGTCAGAAGAGAGACCACCTGCACCATTAACCCTGCATGGTGAAGGAGGCTGTACTTGTACCTGTTACTTCTTGGCATTTGTGAGAGTTTCTGTTTTAAAATTTATTTTAAAGCAAAAAAAAAAAATATTAAAAAACCAGTCACAATTCTGTCATTTCCTCATATTGTCCCCTGGCTTTGTGATCTTTCCTGGCCCATTTGGTCAGGGGGGTACATTGCTGCCGTTTTTAATGCATAATTAATATCCTTCATGGAAAGAAGCAACTGAAGTTTCCTGCCAGTTACTCTGAAAAATAACACTGTTTGAAGAGAGAGTCACCAAGCAAGGCAGATGGCTTGATTTGGAAAAGTCCTGAAGTTTTATTAATTTTGGGGTGGGATGACAGCTTTTAAATATGATCTCATCTCAACACTCATATGTAATTCTACAACTAAATCCTGTGTCCCTGTTCTTCAGCCAAATAGTGTTCTGGTTTTTTTAGTCCGAAGGAAAAACCTGATGCAAAAAAACATGCAAATGTGTGAAAACCTGCATGTGAGTAATTTTTCCCCAGTTTTCTGAAGTATTGTGTTTTATTGTAACTTGTGCTCAGCAGGAGCAGATCGAGAGCTGCAAACAGTTCGTCAGATGATGATTGACTTCCTGCAGAACCATTCCCAGGAGGTGAGGCCACCTGCTTGCCCACCACTGGATCCAGTTTTGTAAGTTCCTTGTTTAAAATATACTGATGTGAGCTTACTGTGTTAATGAAATAAAATGTAGAAGGTCTTATTAAAGATGAAATAAGCTTTTTTCATATGATCGGTTCTGCCAGGAGATTGTACAAGTCCCTGGGTAGCAGTGTGTGTGTTGCATTCCAGCTGGGCTAAATAGCTTTTCTTTTCTCAAAAGGTCCAGTGATATTACTTCTCTTTTTGACAAGAGCAGCCATCATTACACTGCCATTGTGTTTGAAAGTAACAGCTCCTATGTTGGACGAGAGGTAACTATTACTTGCATGAATGCATGTTATCATAACCCAGCTGAATTTTGTTATTTAGCCAAAATTTCTGATTATAGGACTGCATTAAAGGGCCGTAAGGGACTGGTCACCCATATTTTGAGATATCACAGTCACTGTGAGCCAAGAGACTCTAAAGCACTGTTGTATTTAGTCACACAGAGGAACTTGCTTACGAATTAATGTGTTGTCATGTTAATTTCTTCCATTCATGTTTTAGTGACAGATTAATTTATCAATTTCATTGTTAACACAATTATTTTTTTCTTGCAAGATCTGAAGATCACAACAAAAATATTGTCAGATTATGTTATTGTTTTGTTACTGCTGGAGAGCTTTCATAATATTAATTATTTTTGTGATTTCAGCTGTTTCCAATAATGTAAATTTTCTGTTTCTTTTTCTTCACATTTAGGTTTTAGGCAATTACATTCTAAATTAAGGTGACAGCATAAAATTATTTTCAGAGCTCTGAGGCACTGAGGGAGTGGAAGTATTTGGCTTTTTGCTTCTCCCACCTCCTTAATAAAATATTTGATTTGGCATCATTTCACCACCTAATGAGCCTGCTGTTAGCTTAGACAACTGTTACTTTTCTCTTCCTGCCAAGATCTAGGATAAGGAAAGAAAATAAATTGCATAATTATCTGTGCATAATCTGTGTAGAAACATCCGATGTCTGTGAAATGTGTCTAATTAGATCTGATGCTGAGGTGGCCCAGTTGCAGAAGAGAGTGTGCTGCCAGAAGTGAGAATCCCTTTGAGGAGCAGCCTGCTTCCAGACATTTTTTTTTTCTGGAAGCTGCTGTGTTGCTACAAGTGGGCATGACTGAAGAGATGAAATGTGATGATTATTAAGCTCTTCAGCTTTTTATCGTGCTCACTAGGGAAAGACTGAAAATCATCTGATGAACAGAAAGTGGAATCTGCTTTCAGAAGCAAAAATATTTGCTAAGGAACTTAATTGTTTTCTAAGTCATGGACTGTGACATCAGAATGGTGTCAAGTGGTGGGACCAACATTTCTTCACTACCTGAAAATTTGCCTTTAGACTCTCACATATATAACATGAAACATTAAACCTCTTAATACCCATGGAATATCCTCTGGGCTATTTTAAGGTTTATGAGGACATTTTATCATTAATGTTTTCTTCAAGTGTTAGACTTCTAAGGGAAAAGATCAGGATAGATGAAGAAAAAAAATGGAAGAACGGAGAAATGGTTTCCAGAGAAGAGCAAATCTTTCACTGAAATTGTTAGTGTGCAGAGAATACTTGTAGATGGACTTGCAGCTTAATGATACCCTTGAAAGATGATGCACTTCACGTATTTATATGTCTTGTCCTGCAAGTTGAGATATTCCTTGAACAATGTATAATTCATGTCATCTTCTCATTGCCCAGGTTATCTTAGACTTGGTCCAGTATGAGAACATTGTTGTGAAGAGAGCGTTGGATTTGGATAAGCCTTTTCTTGAGAAGCTGGGTGTTACCTCAGTCCCTTCCTGCTATCTGGTGCATCCCAATGGCTCTCATGGATTAGTTAACATGTAAGCACTTATGTCTGAGGAATATGGGGAGGTTCAATTAAGCTGGAAAAACAGTTTCTGTAGCTTTCTTTCATACATAACCTTTTGCATGTTTGTAAGGACCTTGTGTCCTTATATATTCTTAATCAACCATGTAATATTGTTACCTGAATTTTTTATACTACTTTTGCTTACCACTGTTGCCTGTTAACAGCTTTAACCTATTACTGTGATACTTCTGAAAGGGAATACTTTGGAATAAAAATGAAAAAAAGTCTATGAAGCCTTAGAGCTCTTAAAAAACTTGCTTGTGAGTCAAGCTGCTTGTTCCCTGTGAGCACTGCCTGTGTAAGGCAAACTGATGCTTTGGTGAGCGTGATCTTTTCTTATTTTGAATGGAATTTCTAAACACTAATCCAATTGATTGTTGTTACTGTTCCTAAACTGAACATGATTTTGTTTCACTTTGTATAAAATCATGTTGCATTAGGACTGAAAAACTAAGGTGCATATCAGATTTTGTAAAGACACTAATTTGCTCTGGTTGTTCACTTAGTCTGAGGTTAAAAGTGACCCTTGCTTTGTCCATTTACGTGCAGTTTGAAGCCTCTACGGTCTGTCTTTTCCTCGTATTTAAAGTCACTGCCAGGTGTAAGGAAAAAACTTCTGTTGCCACTTCAGCTGCCTGTTCAAGAAAACAAGGAGGAAAAAATGGAAATCAAGGTGTGGAGAGAGTTTGATAAGTAAGTGATACCCTTGATTTTCAGATCAATGCCTGGTTATTAAAATTTCCTTGCAGTTTTTTCTTGCCACATGGAAGCTGTGCTGTAATTTAATATAAAATCCTAGTGAAGTTAAAAGCAGCACTTCATTCCAGCTCAGGTGATGCACCTTAAGGAGAATAGGTTGGTCACTACTGAATGGTCTGCATTCTGCTGCTGAGTAAAATTAAAGGCATTCGTGCTTAATGCTGGAGAAATTATGGCATCAAAGCTGAGAGCAAATCAGCTGTTGCTTCAACTTCATCCATTTTTCAGTATATTCAGGTAACACTTGAGAATTAGCTCAGTTCCAGCATCAAGGCTACAATTTCTTTTTACAGTTAGGAGCAGTATTTCCAACAATTCAGAGGTTAAATTATATGGGGTTTTCAGTATTTGTTTGTTTAGCAGCAAGCATCTGAACTGCTGATGTTTTTCTCCAGAAGTATTGTTAAATAATTAATTAACTTAAAAATACCAAGGACTTACTACTCATTACCTGAAGTATATGGATCACTGATTCGAGTTGTTGGAAAACAAGTAATCAGTGTCCCCCTGAAAGAAAGAATAATTAGCAAACTATTTCATTTCTGTAGGGAGAATTATCTGTGTGTGTGTAATAGTGACACAGTGCCCAACAAAAAGTGCTTGTCAAATGCAATATAATAGAAAACTGTAAAATATGTTTATCATACCAAATCCAGTAAGGTTTATCTTCACCCTCTTTC